CCCATCCTCAGGCTGCCTTGGGATGAAGGAGCTTGTCCCCACAATCCCAGCAGTCCCATCTCCTCCTCCGCTGTATCCATGATATCCAACCTGATCCCGCCTGTCCCGTGTGCTGTTGGTGCTCCCAAACCTTGTAAACTTTTCCCCTGAGGTTTCTCTGGGAATATTCCCTTGGAATGTCACCCATTTGGTCTGGAGACCTCGTGGTCCTGCTTTTTTTGAGCTTCCTCATCCCACCAAATCCGTGTGGGATAAAATGTGGATAAAATCCACTGCTTCTTTGGGATATCTCCATGTGCCACACCACCTGTGGAGCTTCCCTGGAGGAGAAACAAGGACTTGTTTGGGAGCAATTCCCTAATTTTGGATGGAAGAGGTGGAGCTGGTGCTCCCCAAGGTGGTGAGGAGTGGCTGGAATTTCGTTGTAGGTCCCAGGATAAACCCCGGGAAGCAGGACCTGCGGTGGGACAGCAGCTCTTGGAGAGCCAGAATGGAATTGGGGTAGGAAATCTGGGGGGAATGACATTCCCTGGACCTGATCCTGCATGGAATACATCCCTCAGCCACTCCTGGGCTTTGGGATAACCTCTCTCTTTTCCCAACCTCAACATTCCTTCCCTTCTGGCTGCTTCCCACAGATCCCAAAGCCAAGTGATGGTGTTGCTGGTGGGATTTCCTCCCCCTCTGGAGATCCTGGGAATTTGGAGATGGATGAAGAGAAGGAGCTGGATCCCCCTGTCCCACAAAAGGAATGGGATTCCCAAGTCCTGAAAAGCAAAAAAGGACGAGAGAAGAAACAAGAAGAAAAGAAAGAGCAGGAAAAGGGATCGAAGAGGAAAAGAGGGAGGAAGAAGGATAAATTTGGGAATGGGATGGAGGGAATTGAGGAGGAGGAGGAAAGTGATGGGGGCAGGAATTGGGAAGGGGAACAGGGAAGAGCCGAAAGAGGGAAAAGCAACGGATTTCAGGGACAGGGGGATGGGAGAGAAAACCAGGAGATGGGAAAAGTGAAGAAACACAAGAGGGGGAAAGTTGAGGGGGCGGAAAAGGTGGGAAAAAAGGGAATAAAGAAGGAAAAAGTGTTGGAAGAGGAAAAGGAGCAAGAGGTGGAAAAGATGGAGGAGGAGGAGGAAAGAGAGGAAGGAGCGGGAGGTGAAATGGAGGGAAAAGATGAGGTGGGAAAGGGAAGTGGGGATGGAAAAGGAGTAAAGGAGGAGGAAAAGTTGGGAGAGACACAGAGCACGGGGATGGAGCAGGAAAAGGAGGAGGAGGAAGGGAAGGGAGATGGGCCAGAGAAAGAGAAAAAGAAGAAAAGCAGGAAGAAAAAGCTGGAAGGGGAAGAGCAAGAGAAGGAGGAGAAGAAGAGGGAAGAGGAGGAGACTCCAGGGAAAAGCAGGAAAAGGAAATCCAAGGAAGGAGGAGGAGAAAAGAACAACAAAAAGGCGCGGAAAGAGGAGGGAAAAGAGGTGGAAAACAAGTGGAAATGGTAAATATTC